ATTCAATTCTTTTCCAGGTGGATATCTAGTGTTCTCAACACCATTTAATAAAAAATCTGTTTTTGTTGTTGTTGTTTCAAATTAGGTTTTTGACACTTTACCTCAATAATCACCTTTATATCTTTTCTATAATTTTTTATTGACATGTACTTTATAAAATATGAGAACAGTTATGCTATCTTGTTTAGAGTTTAGATTCTCTTGGTGCGCTGATTGCTATCAGTTTTGGATGTCTTTGCCACTATCAGATGTTTCATGGAGACAACTCATAGTTGAACCTTGCTTTTTCTTTTTTTTCCTTTTTTCTTTTTTTTTTTTAAAAACTATCTTTTTTTTTTCATTTTACACACTAATCCCAGTTCCCACTCCCTCCTCTCCTTCCATTCACTCTACTTTCAGCTCCACTCCACCCCATCCACTCCTCAGAGAAGGTGAGGCACATTGTTTTGGGGGAGGACTAAGGCCCTCCCTACTATATCTAGGCTGAGCAACGTATCCACCCAAAGAGAATGGTTCTCAAAAAGCCAATCCTGGTGGGCACCGTAGTCTTCCCCAGTCATACAACTGTCAACCACATTCAGAGGGTCTAATTTCTTCCTATGCTGGTTCCTTCCCTGTCCAACTGAGCTTTTTACTTATATTTTTATTATAGCTGAATTCTTGTTAATATTTCCAACTCTTTATTCAATTCTGACTTTAAATTTCAAGCGTTCTTTGTCATTTTGCTCCACCACATATTTTTATTTTCTCAGGTACGTATTGTTATTCTCTTGAAGTTCATTGCACTGTTTGTCTTTTTATAAAACTCCTTGAATTATATAATGTACTGTTCATTGGATCAGTGTCCTGAGTTCATATAGGTAGATTTCTCTTAACGTTTCTACAGGACTAGTAGATTTGGTGATAGTCTGTTTTTGTCATTCATGTTTTTGGTTTTGCATCTCACTTGTGCATGTGAGTGAGCTTGTTTTCTTGTTTTCTATGGTTGTATTTCTCATGTAAGAAGCTGGCTTGCGTTAGTGCTGGAGCGAGGCCAGGTAAAGCTGGAACATTAGCTGTTTAATTTCACTATTAAAAGATGCCTCCTGAAACACAGATAGGTTGGAAGTAGACTTGTGGGTGAGGAGAAGGAAGCAGGCAGAGGTGGAAATAGGTGACGAAGGTGGTATTTATTTGATAAAGGTGACTTGTCAACAAAACTGTGCCTCTAGGTGTGGAGATGAATGGAGGCAGAGAAAGAAATAGGAGAGGAACAAAGCTATTTTCCAGGCACAGGAGGCTCAGAAACAAAACTGGCTTACAGACCATTCTGGAGCTAGCGTCAACTAAGGTAGGTAGGTGAGGTTCATGGTTTGAGAGTAGGCCCGTCTTAATGGTTTATTTAGTTGTATCAAGTGTTATGTTTATCCAATATTATTTGAAAGATTAAGTTCAGAATTTTATGAAACAATAAAAATCAGATAAAAATCAATAAAAAAGATGTAAATAAGTTTCTTATTGACCAATAGCGCAAGTAGTCTGAATGAACTCTTAACATATATAGACTTTTCCTAGATTATCCAAGTATATAAAAATACTTAGTTATGCTTACAATCCTTTAATTTTCTTCTGTTCAGTTTCTTCTTAATACTCCAGTCTGGTGCTAGAGTCCAACATTTCCTCATTACAATATAAAGTCTGCAACAAGTTTGTTGTTAACCTTTATGTTAGTATGGCTACCAAACTCACGCCTGTGCACTGATAATTATAGAAAGAAATGTTCTACTTGCTGTTGGTTTAATTATTAGTGTGCACAGAAACCCTTTGAAGAGGTCTCAGCCTTCTGTTTTTCAAATGACTGTACTTGGACATTTCCACGGGGTCATTGTGACATTTCTTCAACAGCTATACTATTCTGGGAATTCTTTTTACTGAGAGTTAAAGATTTGATTAAAATTGCTTTATGATAAGAAACAAAATTAGTAGTTGTATTCTGTTAGGGATTTTGTTAAATGTGTATGTGTTGGCTTCTATATTGGCAAAATAAAAGTATGGTCAGATAATCAACTTCACCATGATAGCCTTTTAACTGCCTACCTGCCCGGTAGCATCATGTGGTGATCTCCAATATACACAATATAATTGTTTAATAATTTTTAAATATAAACTATTTTTCTGAAAATTTTTATTTGAGTGTTGGGTAAAGATATTTTTAGCAAATAAAAAATGGAGAGAAAGCAATTAAATATGTAAATCTTGAGAAATACTGTGTGTGTCTGACCACTTTTATTAAGAGAACAATCCATGGATACTTACTTTATTATATGACAGAAAAATGAAAATAAATTAACTTGGAACAAATATTATAACATACAACAGTAGAATTTTTCCATTTTAATAATATCCAGTAGACTAATGCCCAATTTGACTATATACAATTCAATTTTTATTTGCGTGGTGGGTTTCTAGTGTAGGATTAATTTATAGTCGTGAGCTTCAAAGTCTTTTTCACACATACTTGGGTTAAAAGCCTAGGTTTTAACCCCATTCTAAGGTTAAGCCCTTGTTGCTTTTAAGCTGGGCCAAAGCATTTCATAAGTGGAAAACAAGTCTAGAAAAAAAATGTAAACTTTGCAGCTTTGGAAAGAAAGTTTTATCCCTGTAATAAATTTCATCAGTAGGAAAGATCAACATCTGGTCTATCCATAGTTGTAATTTCACATTGAAAGTTTAGTCTTTTCATTTTTAAACAATCTTCTTTCAAAGACAACATCTATTACACGGATAAAACTTCATATAAGAACCCTTGTAACACACACCTCTAAGAACAGACGTTCAATGATGAAGACATTTTTTGATGAATTAAGTTTTCTACAAGCCTGTAAGTGCTGCATAGTCCATGCTGTTTTAGCTTATTGTTTTGTTCCAAGCTAAGCATGAAAACTTGGTCTCCTGTTAGCTTTTTTTCATGCAAGTATTTCTGTAAAAGATAAAATAAACAAGTGGAATTTTAATTTCTTTACTCTTTGCTAGCAATTCTTATTCTTAAAATCTTTATTCTATAATTATTTTGTAGATTGTCCTAACTGAAGGATAATATTCTAGTTTTTTGAGTCTGCTTTTTATGGTCAGAATTTCTCAGATTAAAGCTCTCCCCCAAATCTCTGGGATGTTCTGCTCTTTTCCATACCACTTACTGGAGTTATTACTGAGCCTATGAGTCAACCACATGAGGAATATGAATTAATATGTATTTCATACAGGTCTCTTTCTAATCCATGTGCTTAAAGGTCTAGTTTATTAGGATTAACATTTTATGTAGATCACACCAGAAATAATAGGTTGTCAAATATTTTATGTATATAGAAGTTATAAGTTGATTCATTTAAAATGAATATAATTCTATATGACACTAAAACTAAATCATACAGTCTTTTTGTTAGGGTTTTCTGATGGGAGGGCCAAGGAAGGCAGTGGGTGGTGGTGGGGCAGATGGGATTGGAGGAGGGGAGTATAAAAGGATGCCTCTGAAGGAAGATGGAAAAGAAAGAGCAGGCCTTGAAGGCACAGGCTTTAAAGGGGCTTTGTAAAGGGTATCTTTTGTATTTTACTGCTGGCACTGAGTAGTTGAAGGAAGGCTGGGGGAAGCAACTGGTTCTGGAATGTGAGTGGTTCTCTGTTTACCAAACACTTTCATTGGCTAAAGTTTACCTGAGAAATATGGGTGGGGAAATACCTAAATCATGTGAATAGTAGTTTCAGATTTATTAAAGTCTATGCTGTTAGGGTAGTAATGAGTTTTCTGCCTGCATTCCCTTTATTTTAGTTTCATACTTAGAATAGAGTATTGTCATGCTGTTTAATTTTGAAGTCATCCAGGGTCCATACAAATCCTGATTTTATGACTCTGAAACTCTGGCTAGCTTTAATAGGGACAGAAATTTCATTCAAGCAGTTTGAAGAGAAACATCAATCATCTTTTCTAGCTGTGTACTCTGTGAGCGATAATAATCACTGGTATGGGAAGATATGGTCATGGTACAACAGTGGTATGAAGGTCATTGGGATAACCAATGACTTTTCCATTGGAATTAAAGCCTACTTTAGAGGAGGAAACTCATGCATGGAATGGCAAGTCTGGCTGTATAACTGTTCATAGACCCTAGGGGAAAATTGACTATTACTGTTTTGTTAAATTGACATAGTATCAAAGTGTCTTCTAAATACTCATACTAAAAGATTAGAGCTGTTCACACACTTCACCTGAGCAACTTTTATTTTTTATTTTTCTTTGTTGGTGGACAGTGCTTAATCAGAGACCCCACAGCTGGTCAACATGTAACTATGGGATACTTACCCCTATGTGGCACAGTTATATCACACAAAGGCTTTGGATTCATTGCATAAGAGGTGCCAGAAAGATTGGCAGGGCCAGAGGACAAGGAACACTGCCAGAAAATTGTGTCTTATGGCCATGACTGGACAACTGCACTCATGAACTCAAAGCAGCTATGGCTTCCTGTATAAGACCTGTACAAAGTCAAGTCAAACATCATGGAATGGAGAGAGGCTACGCCTATTTTGAGATCTATAAGCAATTGATAGCTTCTGGAAGAGAGAAAAAGTTCATGTTTTTCAAGGGTGTAGCCTTTAGTAGTTGCTTATTTCTAGTAAATGGTCTGATATCCATACTTAAATGTACACTAATTAGACTCCATAAATTATAAGGAAAATATATTTGAAGTTCACTGGGGAATGATAGATGGAGGAGACCTGAAGGAGAAGAGAGGAAGATGTCGGGAGTAGATATGACCAAAACACATCTTAAAAGAGAATTATATACTCACCTTAATCCTCATGCTGAATTTTTTTGTTTATTCAAGACTGTGAATACAATATCTTATTTCATGATCACTGAATTTTTTTTAGTATGATGAATGTTTACAATTAAGTACTATTTACATACCTGCTTAATAAGATAACAGAAAATTACTCAAGCTTTAATTGATTTCTTTTTGCAGGCCTGAAACTAAACAAGACCATTAATTATGGTCAGTTGAATGCCTTATGCCACATTAGAGGACTACAGAGCAGGTAAGGTACTCATGAGTTTCCTTTTCTGTCAAACAGAAAGCAATACCTCTGCTTTTTTACGGATAAAGTATAATATGAGAATGTGCTATCTCTCACAGGTCCCTGATTTACTACATGGATAAATACATTTGAAACCTGGGGTTTATTTCTATATATTCAAAAGTATATATATACTTTTGGCATAGTAAAACCAATTTACTATGGAATAAACATAACTCATTTCAAACTTGCTCCTTTTAGTACTCAAAAAGCAATCATAAGGAGAAAGAGGTAAGTGGTTAAAAGCACAAATATTGAGTGAGGCAAGCACTTGAGATAGGCACAGGGATGTCTGTTTGCAGTGCTCTAGAGAAAGGGAAATAGGAACTAGTTCTTTTTAGAGCTTAGAATTTTATTTTTGTTTTGTTTATTTATTTTAAAACAACCTTTTCTCATTTTGCATACCAATCCCAGTTTCCTCCTCTTTCCCTTCTCTTGCTCCCCTCTATCTTCCACCCTCTTCACCCCCATTCAATCGTTAAAGAGGGTAGCCTTACCCTGGGGAGTCAACAAAGTCTGGCACATTGTTTTGAGGCAAGACCAAGGCCCTACCTCCTATATCTAGACTGAGCAAGGTATCCCTCCTAAGACAATGGTCCTCAAAAAGTCAGTTCAAGCACTAGGGATAAATCCTGGTTCCATTGCCAGTGGTCCCACAGACTGCCCCAAGTCACACAACTTTTACCCATATTTAACAACCCAAGTTTGGGCCTATGCAGGTTCCTCAGCTGTCAGTTAAGTCAATGAGCTACATCTAGCTCAGGTCAACTGTTTCTGTGGTTATCCCCAGGATGATCTTTATCCCTTCCTCATATTATTGCTCCTTCCTCTCTTCGACTGGACTCTGGGAGCTCAGCTGTGGATCTCTGCATATCTGGATAAATTTTCTATGATGAAAATTAAGGTACTAATCATAATGATTATTGGGGAAGGTCAGTTCAAGTACCCTCTCCACTATTGCTTAGGGTCTTAGCTGGGGTCATCCTTGTGGATTCCTGGGAATTTTCCTAGCGCCATTTTTTTTTCTAGCCCCATAATGGCTCCCTCAATCAAAACATCTCTTTCCTTGCTCTCCCTCTCTGTCCTTGTGGTATGAGTGTGCATTTTTTGGGTATATTGTCCAAGAGTGTTATTGTTAGGTCTTGAGATAGATTGATTCCCAGTCAGAGCTTAGAATTTCTAAAAGGCGGGAGAATTGAAAACAGACCTTTAAAATGTGTTTTGCTGCTGTTTTAATTATTGTTCTATTTCTCTGAAGAGACACCATGACCAAGACATCTTTTATATTAAAAAAAAGCATTTAGTTAGGAGTTTGGTTACAGTTTTAGAGGGGTAGACCATTATCATCATGGGGGAGTCAGACAGACATGGCATGGAGCAGTAGTTGGGGGCTTTCAAATCCTGATCTGCAGGCAGCAGGTCTCTAGAAAGAGATGCTGCATGGGCTCTTAAAACCTCAAAGCCTATGCCCAGTGTCACACTTCCTCTAACAAGACCACATCTACTCCAAAATAATTATCTCCTAACCTTTTCCAAACAGTTCCACTAACAGGGCACCAAGCAGTCAAATGATGAGCATATGGAACTATTTTTGCTCAGACTACCACATTTCCACTCACTGGGTGCTATAGGCTTGTAGCCATATCATAATACAAAATGCTTTCAGTCTAACTTCAAAAGTCCCCTTAGTCATTCACAGTCTGAATTCTAAATCTCTTCATAGACTCAAGAAAATCTCTTAACTGTAATCCATGTAAAAACAAAAGCAAAAAGCAGATCACATATTTCCAACATACAGTGTCACAGAATACCCATTGCCAGTCCAAAAGAGAGAAAATACTACAGCAAAGCAAGACCATCCAGCAGGGGATACTACACATTCTGCAGCTCCATGTCTGCTGTCAAAAGGTTTATTAGACAGCTCTTTCTTTCCAGATTTGCTGAATGCAGCACACTTCTTTCTCTTGGGATGGTTCTACAGCCTGTTAAAAACTTTCTTTGCCAAGTACCCCATGGCTCTGGCATCTCCAGCATCTTGGGGTCTCCAATGCAATCCAGACTTCACTTTCACATATTCACCCAATGACCCCTTGTATTGCCCTACACAAGCCTGAACTAAGCAGCCTTTCTTAACAATAAAGGAAGAGTCAGTTGTAGGAGGCTGCTTGTTTGTCTCCCAGCTGCCCAGAATCCCATAATAATCACTGTATTAATTAGATCATTGCTTGGCCTATGAGCTCTAACTTCTTATTAGCTAAATCTTACATCTTAATTTAACTTATTTTTATTAATCTGTGTATCGCCACGTGGCAGTGGCTTACCTGGTAAAGTTCCATCCTGTGTCTGTCTCTGGCAGGGGCTACATTGCTTCTCCTCTCTCCGCCTTCCTTCTCCCAGCATTCAGTTCAGTTTTCACCACCTACTTAATCTTTGCCCTAACAACAGGCCAAGGCAGTTTCTTTATTCATTAACCAAAAAAAGCAACATATAGACAGAAGGACCTCCAACACCAAGAGTCCACAAACACTTTCCTATATTATGGATTCTAAATCCAAAATCACCTTGCCTAAACTGCATAGTTATTCTGCTTGCTAGTGCTGGAGAACCTTGGCATCCTCCTTGAATTATATTTACATAAGCTTTCTCCTGTTGATTGTTTTCTCTGCTACTTAAGCTTTCCTTTAATTCCTTTTCCCAAGTTGGAAGCTCAGCTGTTTGGGGTCTTGCCCTGAGGGCATCACTCTATTCCATTTTGAGTAAGTTCTTGTTTTAAACCTTTTATGTCCTTGAGCTATGATTTGGCTAGTGTTACATTTCCTGTTGCTCATTTTCTCTTTAAACTGAGCCCTGGTTTGTACCCTGGTTGCTTTTTCATTGTAGATCTTCATAAGAATGATCAGTACATAATACTGTCACTGCTAGGCTGTCTCAAAATCTCTGCCAATAACATTAATCCAAATTTCTTCAATTTAACCTCAGACAGATCTTAGGACAAGGGCATAAAGCAGCCATATTCTTTGCCAAAACATCTCAAGAATGTTCTGTAGGTCACTTACTAATAGTTTTTCCCCTTTGAAACCTCTGGAGCAAGGCTTCTGTAGTCCGAATTACCCTCTATTCTATTATCTCCTATGCTATTCCTAGGATGAGCCCTTAAGTGCCTTTTTAAGTACTCAACTACTTTTCTATTCCAAAGTCTCAAAAATCTTCCATAGTCTTCCAACAAATAGCATTATCAGGTCTATCATAGCAATGATAACTATTTCTGTCTCAATTTCTGTTCTATTGCTGTGACGAGACATCACAACCAAGGAAACTCTTCTAAAACAAAGTGTCTAATTGGCATGGTTATCATTTTAGACGGTTAGTCCATGTTCTTTGTGGTGGGAAGCAGACAATCATGGCACTGGAACAGTAGCTGAGAGCTTTACTTTCATGAAGGGCAGACAGAAAGAGAGAGATACAGAGACAGAGACAGAGACAGAGAGAGAAACTGGGCTTGAATGGAACATTGAAACATCAAAATCCACCCCCACTGACATACTTCCTCTAACAAGGACATAAAAGACAACATGTAATTGTTTCCAAACAGTTCATCAACTGGAGACCAAATAGCTACACATATAAGCCTATGGGGCTCATTCTTATTCAAATCACCACAGCTGTAAGACTTTTCCTTCAATTGCACTTTTGAAATTATAAACCATAACCACTCTCCTACACCCCCATCTTTCTTCACTCCTGTTTATGTTAAAAAAATGCTTTGAGTTTACAGATTTTTTTCTCTCTTCTTTAAAGTACCTCTTAAATTCATATTTTAGTTAGGATTTCCAAAACATATTTTACATTTTCTTTAGGAATGTCTTGAAAGAGAGAAGTAAAGAATGAAGCTTTATGGTTAGCTGGTTGTAATTATATGTACGTCTATCTTTATAAAATGCCATTTGAATATGAACTTTTTGTTGATTAGCAAATTCTGCACATAAATGAGATAGATGATCAAGTGAGTTCATTGCAAGAGATTCATGGTTTTAAAATAGTTTTAAATTTTAAAATAAATGTAGAGAAGATTGACTAGAGGTGCTGTAATGCAAGATCTGAAAAGCACTGAGAGAATGACATTTTTAATTAGATAAAGGACTTAAATTCATTTGTATCATTACATAGCATTTTCTTTAACTTATTTTGTATCTTGAGGATAATTTCCAATATGAAGATACATATATATTTATTCAGCTAACTTGTGTCAATGTTCACCTGCTCTTATTGTTGTGAAAGGGAAGTAATAATATTTCTTTCAATTTTCATCATGAAAATATATAGACACTACATTCTTTCAAAGACAAACTCAGGTGGAAATAATCTATAAGAAGTCAAATGGGTTAAATTTTTATGGCTCATTTTATTTAGAACAAAAATGTAAATTGCCTTGGATAAATGCTTAAATATAGTTTATCGCTTTCTAGAGTTCAGCTATAATAGGAATAGTATCCTATTCATGATTGGTAAGGTAATGTATATCAAATAGTGTTGTAGGCATAATTTCCTAATTTCTTGACATGACCCTTGTTTACTGCCTACCTGTCAGACTGTTCTTACTCTATGAATAGAAAAGCCCTTGTATTGAAATCAAGACATCAACATTTGCATAATGTATTTTTTATTTTACATAAACTTGGGAAGATTATTTAAACCCCATGGACCTCATTTTCTTATCCATCAATGATAGCTGTAGGTCTAAATAATAGCTCTAATTTATAAAAATAACAGCGATTTTTATATTTATTTCACAGACTTTGCTACATTTTTCTACTATGTCCTTTTCTTCCTATACAAAGTTAGAGTATATCTTTCAGTGTCCCTTGTATTTGTAAGTCACCAAATACAGACACATTGAGGTTTAAGTCTTCAGTATATGATATGGTTTTGGCGGGAAATAAGAATCAGTCTTGGCAGTTATCTACATGTAAGATTTAAAATGAGAGTTTAGATTTATGCCTTTGGTAAAAGCAATTATAGGAACTGACTACATTGGGCTTCTAATATATTAGTTTTTAAATTGTACTTTTATTTATTTTTCCACTCTCCATTTAAAACTAAAAATTCATGTTCCTGCAAAAAATTATATAATAAAACATGTGTTATCAGGTCTTTGCAAACAGATTCTATTTAATTCTTGTTTCTCAAACCAAAATACATAATTTGAGAAGTCTTTTACTTTATTTTATAGTTTAAAAAACAGACATCAATTGCCCAAAGTTCAGGTATTATATTTACATTATAAACTTACAATTCTTTTTGTTGTATTTATAGATGTACATATATGTATGTATAAAGTACAATTTTTATTTTTTGTTTTTACTGAGCTGTATATTTTACACCACTCCTCTCTCTTACTTTCACCTCCCCTTTTATCCTTTTCCATGATCCCCACACTCCCAATTTACTCAGGGGATCTTGTCTTTTTCTATTTTCCGTGTAGATTAGATCTATGTGAGTCTCTCTTAGGGTCCTGTTTATTGTCTAGGTTCCCTTTGGTTGTGAATTGTAGGCTGTCTTTTCTTCATTTTATGTCTAAAAGCCACTCATGAGTGAGTACATACTATATTTGTATTTCTGGGTCTGGATACCTCACTCAATATGATGTTTTCTAGACCCATGCATTTGCCTACAAAATTTAAGATGTTATTTTCTTTTTCCACTGTGTGTTACTCCACTGTGTAAGTGTACCACATTTTCTTTATCCATTCTTCATTTAAGGGCATTTAGTTTGTTTCCAGGTTCTGGCTATGACAAACAATGCTGTTATGAACATAGTTGAGCACATGTCCTTGTGGTACGATTCAGCATCCTTTGGGTATATACTCAGAATTGGTATTGCTGGGTCTTAAGGTAGGTTGTTTTCTAATTTTCTGAGAAACTGCCATACTGATTTCCAAAGCAGCTGTACCCAGTTTGTATTCCCACCAGCAATGGAGAAATGTTCCCTTTACCCCACATCCTATCCAGCATAAACTGTCATCAGTGTTTTTGTTCTTGGACATTCTTACAGGTGTAAGATGGAATCTCAAGTTGTTTTGATTTGTATTTCTCTGATGGGTAAAGATGTTGAGCATTTTTAAAGTGTCTTTCAGCCATTTGAGGTTTCTCTGTTGAGAGTTCTTTGTTTAGTTTTGTACCCCATTTTTTATTGGATAATTTGTTCTTTTGATGGCTAACTTCTTGAGTTTGTTGTATATTTTGGAGATCAGCCCTCTGTTGGATGTGGGGTTAGTGAAGATCTTTTCTCATTCTGTAGTCTGCTGTTTTGTATTGTTGACCATACATATCCTTTTCTTTACAGAAACTTCTCAGTTTCAGTAGGTCCCATTTATTAATTGTTACTCTCAATGTGTGTGCTACTGGGGTTAGGAAGTGGTCTCCTATGCCAAAGTATTCAAGTGTACTTCTCAATTTCTCTCCTATGAGATTCAATGTGGTTGACTTTATGTTGAGGTCTTTTTCCATTTGGACTTGAGTTTTGTGCATGGCAATAGATATAGATCTATTTTCATTTTTCTACATGTTGATATTCAGTTACACCAACACCATTTGCTGAATATGCTTTCTTTTTTACATTGAAAGCTTTTTGCTTCTTTGTCAAAAATCAGGTGTGTGGATTGGTATCCCAAGGTGTTTGATTTGATTCAATTCTTCCTCCTGTCTGTTTTTATGCGAACACCAGACTGTTTCATTGCTGTAGCTCTGTAGTAGTTTCTTTTTTCAATACAAGTCTTTTATTGTCCCAAAAGACACCCCAAATCATATTAAAATTCAAGATCTTGTTTCTGGAACTGGTAACTTAGGTCAGTTTGTTGCACTGTTCCTTTTTCAGACACATAGATACCATCCAAACACTTCCTGATATCCTTGTTCTTAACTGTTGTGGCCTGCTGGTAACAGAGTCGCCGAGTTTGAAACCAGTTCAATATCATTTCCTTCAAGGATTAATTCATCCTTCTGGGCTTGAAAGACAGAACAAGCAACGCCTGTCCTCATCCGAACCCTGCGGATGTATTTTTCACCCAAGAAATTTCGGATTTCAACCAAAGACCCATTCTCTTGAATAATGACGTTGATGGGAAAGTGAGCATACACGGACCTCATCTTGTGGCAGAAGCCCAACGTAACACCCTTGATCATGTTTTGAATATGGCTGCAGATGGTTCTGACGGTGGCCAGTTCCTTCCTGTTGCCCCACCATTTGTCAACCCGGAGCCTCTTCTTCTTCTTCCCAAGAAGGCTCAGCTCTACATTGATGTGATTGAAGTCCCTCCAGAGGGTTCCTCTGGGGCCCTTCACAATGACTGTGCGTCCCTTCAGATTGATGTCCACATTTTCTGGAATGTTGACCGTCTGATTGCTGAGAATGGTCTTCATTCTCGCAGTAGATGGGGCAAAAAGAGCTGTAGTACAGTTCGAAGACAGGGATTGTGATACCTCCAGAAGTTCCTTTGCTGTACAGGATTATTTTGGCTATCCTGGTCTTTTTTTTTNTTTTTTTTTTTTTTTTTTTTTTTTTTTTTTTTTTGCTTTTCCATACAGAGTTGAGTATTGTTCTTTTAATATCTGTGAAGAATTTTGCTGGGCATTGCATTGAATCTGTAGTTTGCTTTTGTTAATATTGTCATTTTTACTATGTTAATTCTACCTACTCAGGAGTATAGGAGGTCTTTCCATTTTCTGGCGTCTTCAATTTTTTTTCTTCCAAGTTTTAAAGTTCTTGTCATATAGGTTATATACTTGCCATACACTTGTTTTGTTACAGTTACTCAAAGATATTTTGTTACTTTTAATGAGTGGGCCTTGGATCCCTTTTTGAGAGCATGCTTGCTTCACTTTACCAGTTCTTCCCTTATTGTACCTTCTTATCATTTAGTGTCATGGTCTTTGAATATAGGAGATACAGAGGTAGGAATAGACTACCAGTGTAATTTTTTTTGGCATAAAACACATATCATCAGTATCATAAGGACACCTGTGGATTTGCTGAGAGTTGTGTCATCCTCAGACATAGCACTTGATAGCACTGTTTGGACACATTGTTTTCAAATGCCCAAATGATAAAAACTGAATTCATGTATACCATCCAATTTGTGTTGGAAACTTCCAGGAATTAGGTTAAGGAGATGTCTGTCACACCTGTAGAAAGTGATAGACAAAAGTAAATTGGGAGAAACTATTTTTAACCCGTTCCTAAGGCGATCGATCCAATTCACAGTCCAGATAATGTTCTAAGACATACACCATGGTCTACATGTAAATAAAAGAAAAAAAATATTTCTTTGAATCTCTAGTTCTACATGTATGAAATGTGGATAAGAGTATTGAAACAAACAGACATGTAAGAATTAAATGTTGTGCCATATGTGAATTGGTTAAAATATGGCCTGACATAACAAGAAATAATTTACATTTTTACTTGGGTCACCATATCCTAGAGGTTAAGAAAATGGGACTTCAAGTCAGTTAAATTTTAATTTTTATTATATATCTCTCACATCCTAGTTATATGGTGTGACTAACTATTAAAGTAATAGTATTTTATATGTAAATATTTATATATATACATCAGTAGGTTATACAAATATGCAATGAAAGCTTACTTCAGTATATGGGATAGAGCAAGTCCTTAAAGAAATTAACAGATGATTACTGAATGTGAGTTTCCAAATACACATATGGGAGATCTTTGGAAATCCTCCACAGACATAAGTGCACAGATTTAAAAATTGAGTAGATACTTAATCAGTATATACACATGATGTGAGAAAAGAACTAAAGTGCCCAAAATATTAAGTCACACTTACATTTTACTTTTTGAATCGAGGTAAACAAAATAAGATTTTAAGTTATATATAATTTATTTTGTGTGAAATATCAATACAATGTTTTAGAAAAGATAGCCCAGAGAAAAAGAAATTGCTGCAAATATTTCAATGTGTCACTGCTTGCATTGACAGGAAAACAAGAAAAAGACTTTTATTGGGGGATTTTTTTTATTCGTTACCATGAAGCAAATATTGACCAAGATTTTGTGAATGTTCAATTTGAAGATGACTATTTTTACTAATTATTGAAATGAGCTATCATGATGAATGTTTAGCATTTTGGGTATTGCCAATATTTTAGATGGTGGTCACTTGAAAATTAAATGGGGCAGATTTTCTAGAAACAACAGCTATTATCCAACACTTTATGACAATTTGCCCTATTTTCATAGCTTTTTTATTGTTATGTCTACAGTGGAAGAATCATGTAGGAGAGGACATTTAAAGTAGAAAAGTCTACCCTTATCCACAAAAGGAGTTTATGATTTATCAGTAAAAGATAACTGAACTTCCACTTATCAACCTACGTTATTCCAGAGTGGGAAATACTGAGATTTTTCAAACAACAGTTCTTTACTACAGACTTAAATAATGATGTATGATGTTTTCATTAATCATTGCAAAGATTTAGAAAACTACAGTCCCAGGTTACAAGTTTGTAAGAGAATTCAGAATCATTTTGGAGTAACTTTCATTATGTTATATTAAATAACAGCTTTATTCAATTGCAGTAATAAAATGCTTGAAATAAAATTGACACAGAATTAATATATAGTATTAAAGCTCTTTTAAAACAATTATTGTGTGTTATACTTACACTTATTTTTTCTCTCTTTCTTAAGCCGACATTCCTCCTTTAATTTGACAGCTCACAATACATTCATCAAGCAATATCCTCAAATATTCTTGCATGAAAAAACAGTATTTCCTAAAATTTTCCAGCAGGATGAAAAAAGGTAATATGTCTTCTTTTGAAAATAAAATTTATGAGTGAATGTTTGTGTGCTTTTTAGGACTGGCATGTATTTATTTATATTGCATAGGTATGCTGAGTTTCATAATGACAATTTTATTCAAGTATATCATGTCCTGTGACATATCCACCTCCCCACACTCCTTCTATGTGCTCTCTTCTGATATTTACTCCCCTAGTCTTCTTTCTAATACCAGGCCACATATGCATAAATTACATATTTAGGGGATTTTATGTATCTATGTAAAATATAAAATCTATAAAAGAAACAAAAACTATATTTGTTTTTATGTGTTTGCCCATCTTACTATTTTAACATAGCAGAATAACAGTAACTATTACAGTGTATAAAATACACAACACATTAGGAAAACACACAACATTGATTTGTTTATGTGCCTGATCATCCAACCAAATTAGTATAACAAGCATGGGGATTTTTTTCTGGAATGTTTGGGAGGAAAGCCACTCTCAGGCTGAAACTATAATCTTGATAGCTAGTTTCCTTCTATGGGTCTGCCTTACCTTTTGTGGATTGTTTTCATTTTCATACTTCTTGTGGTAGATGTAGACAGACTGTATTCATGTACTTAACTTTTAGGAGAGGAATGAAGTAGTCGTTTAAAAGAACCTGAACAGAAACTCACCATACTCTAGTTGATTAAATTAAACCCATGGATTTTCACTGTGCTCTGGTTTGCTAGTCCTGAACCACGTGCCTACATCATTCAGTGGAAAATCCTGCTGATACGCTAAATAGAAACCATTGTGGGGTAGGTATGAGCACAAGTAGAATCTGTGAAGAAAACTAAAGTGCTATCAACTGGAAAATTGCGGATGATTGTATAAAAATTGAAGACTTGCTTGAAACAGAGGGCAGCTCATGGGTGGAAATTCTTCCCTCTTTAAGTCCAGAGACCTGGTGTGTAGCTGTGTTTGTCCTCAGGAATTCACTAGACCTAGAAATGGCAGACATCTTGTGGGTGAAATTGTGGATGGATGTATAAAAGTTGAAGAATTGTTTGAAGACACAAAATTCAATAAGAGGTTAGAAAATTTTTCTTTTTGAAAAAAGGTAGTACATTGAAAGATGGTATTTTAGTTAGGTTTTGATTGTGATAAAATACTGTAACCAAAAGCAACTTGGCGCGGACATGTTTTATTTGGGTTGCAGGGTATAGTTCATCATCAGGGGGAAGCTAAGGCAGCAATTCAAGGCAGGAAATGAAGCAGAGATTACAGAGCACCACTGGTTTCTGGATTGTTTCCCATGGCTTGCTCAGCTGTCCTTATACAGTTGAGGACTATACCCCAGGGTTGGTAATACCTATAGTAGGCTGTTCCCCACATCAACTGTTAACCAAGAAAATGTTCCCACAGACTTACCTATAGCTTAACCAGATGCAGGAAATTCCTCAGTTGAGATTTGTTTTTCCATACTATAACCAGGTTTGTGTCAAACTGATAAAAACCAACAAGCAGGAAAGGCCAATGAACTTTGAAACTTTATATACAGTGAGAGAGATTGCACACAGTCCTTAACTAAAATAATACCTTAAAATAAAATGATTTGAGGATTAGAAGGAAAGATAATCGTTTAGAAGCGAAGTAGTAGCCTAAACCCAAACCTGAAAATATCCACACAAAATTTTAGGCAAAAGAAGTAAAAACTATGCTACATGTTTTAGATACATATCAAAAAGCAGAGCAAGCAAAATAAAAAAAAATATACAAGTGGCTTTTGTTAAACTAAGACACATTTCAAAGACAAAGAAAGAGAGTGAGAACACATCAATGGTCTGGCCGAAAATCTGCATTTTGCAAGTCCACACTTGACGTGCACAGTTGATACCCAAAATATGGGAGGAATTTAAATCAATACCAAGAAAACAAAATGAGTAAATAATGAACAAAAACTCTAAAAGATACTTCTCAGAAGAAGATATTAAAGGAATTTGATAGAATTCAGTGAATGTCTCATGGTAAAAGTAAAATCACACTTTCCTATTTTATTACTGAACATTAATCTATATTCTTGAGGTTAAACATGCAATCTACCTCAAAAGAACAACAAATACATTTCAAATTGAGTTGAAATCCACAGTGTATTATAAAATTTGAACTCAGTTACTGGTCTTACAAATGTGTATATGCACATACATACAAATCACATAGATCAGCCATTGGAAATAATTTAATAATGTATGTATTTAACTTATGTTGAGAAGTGTTCCCTCATGAGATTTCCTCCTTGAAAACATTGCTTAACCTGTGGCTTTATTGATCTATGTGATATGTGACCATGATATGTGATATATGAACAGGAAAGGGGAGTTTAATTTCTTACCCTCTTCTTCCTTGGACAGGTTTGATCTTCTTATCCTAAAGGTGGTGATCCTAACAGCACTTGACCTTAGAGCTGGAAGCCAGTGGCTTCCTGCTGGTCTTGTGTGACTCCAGTTTGTGTTATAGTGTTATGTTGGGTCCTCTCATGTAAGTTTACAACCAAGAAAATGCATCACCAATTTGCCTACAGGCCAATCTAGTGGGGATATTTTCTCAGTTGAGATCCCCTCTTCCAAAATGACTATTGTGTCTAGTTGAGATAAAACTAGTCTGCTTATGTTGGTGGAGGCTGCTTATTTATTTCCTGGATGCCCAGACTCAAAATTATCACACAAAACTGTATTGATTACAATACTGTTTGGCCAATTGCTTAAGCATATTTTTAACTAGCTCTACAACTTAAATTAACCCATTTCTATTAATTTGTGCATCATTACAAGGTTGTGGCCTACCAGCAAGGTTCCAGTGGTCTCCCGCAGGTTTCTTTCTCCTTGGGAAGCTACATGGCTTCTCTCTGACTCCACTTTCCTCCTCTATCTTCTTGGAATTCCTGTCTTGCCCTATTCTGTGCTGCAATTGGCCGAAAGTAGCTTCTTTATTAACTAATAGTATTACAGAGGTGAATCCCACATCAAGGTTAGGGACAGTGGTGGACAGAAGATGAAAGCCTCCCCTGAAGCCTGAGCCTCGTCATGGCTGAGGCCTAAACAGTGACACTAGGTGTTATTGATACTATAGACCAACACCAATGTCTATTATTATTGTTATATTCTCCCTGTATAATTTATCTAACACCTGTATAAGATGACTCTGATGCTAAGCCAGACAACTGCTTGACTCTGGGCAGCCAGAAAGAGGAATGATGCCAGAGCATTTGCTAAAGACTGGAGGAACTCTGCCATGTACAGTTTCTCTCAGAAGGAGTGTAGCTCCCTGGAGCAGTTTCTCATTAATAAAAATAGAGGACCTGACTGAGACATTGAAAATCATTTCTACTTGAACGCTGAAAAACAGGTCAAGGATGATGTCAAAATGGTTTGAAATTGTTGTCACTATCTGAATTTTATTTTATTTGGGAATATATGAGAAGGTAAATTTCTAGAATATTTTAGGATGCAAGAAATCAAGTACAAAAGCAGCTGTATTTTGTTTTGCTTTCAAAGAACACTAAATTTTGACCCTGAAGTCTGGAGTTTAAATTTTCATTTTGCCAAAAAATATCAATGTAGCTTTAAAAATGTCTTAATGACTTCCAATTTTTATTCAGAAAAAGAGCACAAGTTTAACAAAGTAGTTTACTGTTCTACCTTGAAAGAGCTTTTTAATCATACTAGCTCTTACTACTACAATTTTTTAGGGATGGCATTGGTGTTTTATGTAATTACACAATCTATCCTAGTTTCATTTTTGTTGCTATAAGAAAATATTACAAAAGGCAATATAGGATTATGAAAATGATAGCACATGCTTTTAAACCCAGTGTTTGGGAGGAGGAGACAAGTAGATCTCTGTGAGTTCAAGGCCAACCAGCTTTGCATAACAAGTTCCAGGACAGCCAGACTGATAGACTGCTTAGCAGAAAGACACTGTATCACAAAAACAAACAAAACTAGCAATATAGTAAGGCTTGCAATTCCTGGTTACAAAGAATTGTTGCAGAGTTTAAAGGCTGGAACTTAGAGCCTCACATCCCACCAACAGCCCCAAAAGAACAAACACGTGGATCCTTGCTTGTTAACTTTCAGCTACCTGTCTCCTTTCATTGGTTAGAGACACCAGCTTAGGAAATGGTGCTTCCCACAGTGGTCTGGGTCTTCTCACTTAAGTTAACAATAAGACAATTACTCACAAACATTCCCGAAGGCCACCCTGCTGCTTTTCCTGGGTTGTTCTTGGCTGTGTCTAGTTGAGAGTTAACACTAACCAGCATAGCATCTGTCAAGGAATTCTTTTTTTCCCCCTAAAAGTTTAAATAGCAACATAAAGGGAAAAAAAGATACAAGAAGGGACTACACAAAATACCATTACATTTAAGAAGGCTGCACAATTTAATTACTTCCATGTTAAAATCAGAAGACAAAATTTACAGTGCCAGGGTTTTCTCTACATTGTTGTATTATTACCCTATGACAACACATTTATCTATTCTTAGGAATCTTAATGATGATTATTTTTAAAATAAGCGAGTCGAATAGCCATAGTCAGTGTTTTAAATACCTTTAATTCATTCAAGTGGGCATACTTGCAGTATTATACCTATATTCTGTACCAATAAAACATTGTGATTATGAATAAATTAGAAGAAAATGCTAATGTTTATGTTAATAGTTAGGGCTTCTGCTTTAAGTAATCCTATTGTAATTTTATAATATTTTTGATCACCAATTAGAACTTTAGTATCTCTACTGACAGTTTAATTTCTTTTAAATAACGTTTCAGAGACTTGGATATAATTTCCTGAGAACTATATCTATAAATGTGAAGAAACAATTCACTTATCTCAGTGAACTAGACTAATAGTTTGCATTTTTAAGAGCAAATGTAATTTCTATAATTTGAGAAGTACAAATCAGTACACAGATGATTTTTATTCAGAATATGCAAACTGAAGGTCAATCCATGTCTTTGAACATTGAT